ACAAAAAACACAGAGAGAGAGAGAGAGAGAGAGAGAGAGAGAGAGAGAGAGAGAGAGAGAGAGAGAGAATGAAAAGTTGAATATTTCTTTCATCTCATCTGTTCACATCTTGCTCACATCTCAAGCAAATGCACTGATTATAAACACACTCTGCTGCCATTGAAAGGGAAATTATAGCATTTTAATGCCTCCCAATTTACATTTTGAATTACTCTAGCTATGAATATGTGTGGCAATATGGGATATAAGCTGTGATTTATCCCTCAGTAGAGAGAAAAGATAAATGATATGACTGTTTAAAAAACAGATGTCCTTCTAAATAGCCAGAAAAAAAGAACTGCCAGAAACAACATAAGTGTCATGAAAATGTAACTTCTGCTGATGGTTTCTCATCTGTTTTGTGAACTAAGGACAGGTACAGTGGGCAGCTGGGCATTCTTAAGCCAGAGGCCTAGCTCAATCTTACAAATACTGAAATGCTTAAAATAGCATCCACCTAGGAACAAGGTTTTCCTGGAGTTGGAAGAGTATAGCCTCAAATAATGGCAACACATCTGCACGGCATACTCACCATAATTGAGTCATTTCTGGTCCTTCACTACCTTAAGATACTGTAGGCGTTGTTATATATACAGAGGCCAGAGGTAACCTCAACAGAGAACTGATGCAGTTTCTCAGCAAAGGCATCTCATAAGGATTAATAACCTACTATACTTGAATTAGTCTTCCCTTAAAAATGTTAAAGCTGTTGTCGTCCATGTTTAAGTAATAGCTTCATTACACTAATGCCTTGTAACAGAAGCTGCCTCTTGTCAACCTCTGGAACCCTCCCCCAGCCTCCTTCTGCATGCCATCTCTTTCATGAATGAAGTGTGAAAATAGCTCTTTGTTTATGTAAAGGAGGCATAACAGAAGAGTGTGAACATGGGTAGGGCTTGGGAACTGGTACAGAGATTATGCAGTTTGCTCATCTGGCCAATTCAGAATATGCCTAACTACCGAAAGAAAAGAAAGGCTCAAGCAACAAGTAATTAACCATGGGCACCAAAGCAGAACTCTTTCTCTGCATGCCTGTTTAGAAAATACCTAAGAAATGGTGTTTTTGAGATGAATTGTAAACATGAAGACAATTTTGTCTTTCATTGTGTCGATGACCACGCTGCAGAAAGCGGACACTGAAAAGAGCCCCAAGACTTCAAATCCGCCAGCTCAGGACATCTTTCCACTTTTCCTGCTTTTGCTCTAGAGTCTAGACTGTTCTTGCCTCTGTTGTTTGGTTCAGGCTGTTCCCTTCTGTAGAATGTTTCTCTTTATCTTAAACACTCATTTCGAATCAAATCAGCTTAGCCTTAAAGAAGCATTTCTCCTTGAACCTGCTATTTAGGCAAAATCAGCCATCCAGACTCAGAAACTATTCAAGTGTGGTCAGTCCTTTTCATCCTTGTGGTTATTGTTGACACAGAGCTGATAGCACGTGAGGTAAAAGATGGTTCTGCCAACTTCTGTAGCAGATTTTCAAGGGCAGTAATTGCCCTAGTACTCAGAAAGATGAAGCAGGAGAATGGTGAGTTATAAAAACAGCCCCAACTACAATAGTGCTATCAAGACCAGTGTGAACTACAAAATAAGACCAGATGTTTAAAATGGAAGAGGAGGGGGAAGAGGAGGAGGGTGGGAATAGCAAGTTCTTCTTCATGTACCCAGCAGAACCCCAGCATCTAGGGCAGAACTAGGCATAGAGCACATGCTCATTGTATTTGCTGATTGAAAGCAATGTCCTAATAAAGCATTCAAGATCTGTTTCATAAAGACTAGGCACATGACTACAAGGCCTGTCTTGGAGGCAGACTTAAGCAGAATATTTCACCAGCTGTGGGAACTCTACTAAGCTGCTTGTTTATCTGAATGCCTCATGGGATGCTCACAGGTGAACTGTGTGCTTTATGCAAACAAGGAGTATGAATATGCTCCCTGACAGGCACACCTAAGAACTCATAAAGCTTTCAAAATGAGAGACTCATAGGGAGCCTCCAAGAATCATCCCTATACTGTGGGTTCTATGTTTTCCTGGTGGCCCTTCTTGTCTTATCAGTGCACAATGGACACTGTAGTAATGGAAACATGTGTCCTTGAACTTAAAATAGTGTGACTTTTGGAATTGGGAGGTTGGCTTCCTTCAAGGGAACACAATATTCCTCAGGAGGTGTTCAGCAACACACCTCATCTCACTGGGAAATGACTCAACTCAATTGGAAAGGGATAAAGCCAAGTACCAAAGCATCATCGTTTGAAAGTTAGAGGAATTACCCACAGAACAGGAATAAAGCAAAAGCAAAAAACTAGCCTTAGAAAGACAATTGGGGTGACAACCAAGACTAATGTCCCAAAGGAGGCAATGCCACCTCCAACAGACCAGAGTAACATCTATGAGGTTTAGAGATACAATGGAAAGAGAGTGCAATGCCATCAGTGTAGGAGACATGAGCTTAGAACGTACAAAAAAAAAAAAAAATCACACTTAAGGACTTAGCTTACAGTTTCAGATCATTTGTGCTCAGATTTAATCATTTCAACAAACAAGCTTCTAATAAACTAAACCTATCCTATTTTAGGCAATTAATTGTTCTATTGTGGAGAGTTTATTTTCTGATGTTCTTGGCTTTGTTAAAAACAAAAACAATGAACTTCTGAATGGGACTAACCATGTAACATACGTAAAATCAGACTTCCCTCATGAAATCTTCAATAGAATAACACACTGTGCTTTTTCTCATCCACCACATGATTATTCATCTATTTCTAGGAAACATTTAGTAAAAAAAAAAATCTTTCTATATACAAGATTGACACTTAAAAATACATACAACTCCCTTTTAGAAGCAACGTTGCAAATGTCAACCATCCATTTCATCACTGTCCACTGTTGAACTGAAATATCAATTAAAATAACTCATCAAGCAGTTGACCTGTTTGCTGTGCAGCTATGAAACTGAATGGTAAGAATTCTAAAGGCAGTCTTTGTAGTCATTTGTCAAACTGTCCCATGTTTTATGAAACTGAATGGTAAGAATTCTAAAGGCAGTCTTTGTAGTCATTTGCCAGATTGTTCCATGTTTATACTATGGAATTATCACAGTGTGCATTAGCCAGACAAACTGATCTATGAATTGAAAGTGCCCATTATGAAGTTGTTTGCTTTAATGTTCATGTAGATAGTGTTTTATCTCTTAGACAAGCAAAGCACAAAAGCGTCTTACATTTTAAAAAAATGCTTCAAAAACTGTCTCATTCTGACAACATAATGCCATTGGCTTATTTGGTTCTAATATAAGGAAAATTATATCATATTAGCAATTGACTACTGATATGCTATCTCATGCCTTTACAAGGGATGTCTTCTCTTTAATGCCTCACCCAGTTTTCTTATCAGTGGATCCTAGGATCTTCCCAGGTCAAACATCATCAGCATAGTTGCTGATTTCTAGCATCTTTTTGTTGTTGTTTTCTTTGTTTTGTTTTTCAAGACAGGGTTTTTCTGTGTAGTTTTGGTGCCTGTCCTGGATCTCACTCTGTAGACCAAGCTGGCCTCGAACTCACAGAGCTCCACCTGGCTCTGCCTCCCAAGTGCTGGGATTAAAGGCATGTGCCAACACCACCTTGCATCTTAAGGTACAAGCTGTATATGAGTCAAAGCACAAAATTAAAGTCATCTCGATTTTGTAGGTTTCTCATCTACTTACCATTCCCAACGGTCTTAGTCAGCATCAAATCCCCATCCTCAGAAAACACATGTATACAAGCAAACAACACTTTTAAGAGAGTAGCCAACATCACATCATACCTAGGAAACCTGCCCATTATTTGGTACCCACACACTTGGGAATTTGGTATGTTCACCAAAATTGTCAAGTAGTATTCTTATCTGTCCTACCATTCCAAAGTTTATCTTCCTATGAAAAGGACCAAACACTGTGGACTATATCTTTAAAGAGGGCCTGATTCTAAAGTAGATACCACTGTCTTGCTATAAAAAAGCGTCTCACATCCATAATATTTCACAGATATTGAGTGGGAACACAGCATTTGCTACACCCTGATCCAGGGGCTATTGCTCCTACAGAGGACAAGTCAGACTAGGCCCATGTTCTCAAAGGACTCAGTCTCCATAGTAAGAGCTAAGAAGAACAGACCACCAATTAAAAGAAGAGAAAAAAGAATCAAGAAACAAGAGGAATATAACAAAACATGGAAAGTTCTATGTAGCTAATTATCCTTGATGATACAGGAAGGCTGGATAGTTTGGACTGAAGGGTCAGCAAAACCTGTCCTGAGGGAAGGTACGTCTAGTATCCATGACAGGAAGCTGCAAGGAGGTGAGGTGTAGCCAAAAGAAGCCAACCCCTTCTTCACTCCAGGTCCCTCCAGTGAGTTTACCTGAAATCTGAGCTAAGTTGTCCACAGTGTCAGAAAGCTTTGCTGTTGGGAGGATAAGAACACTAACCAATCAGTTCTGAGATTCAGGTTGAAGAAGGTTTTCTCAGGCTTGGGGCTGTACCAGGAAGCTTTGAATGGCTGCTCCCTTTGTGCTGGTGGAAGAGTGGACCCACTACAAACATTTCCCCCATTTTAACAGTATAGCATAAGTACTATGGCACAGCAATTGGAAATCAACCTCTAGATAGACTCATAGGAGAAAGGAAAGGGTAATTTCTTACTCACAGCAAGTGAAGCCAGAAGTGGAGACATATACCCAGCACAGAATTTTTAAAACTGAATTAGCAACTTCATGAATAGTACAGAGATATTTTGGTCACAGATAATAGTTTCAAATAAATGATCCAAAATATTAAAACGAGAATAATCCAGTGAAGGAACTTTGATTATGACATGGTATTTTGACACAGCACAAAGCCTATGGGGACCACTTTAGTGGTCTTAGAAATGCTTGATTTGCGGGTGCTTTATATAAATTAACATAGATTATCCTCAGGGTTTTCAAATAAAAGACACGGAAGTTTATAGAGTTGAGAATCTTACCAGTACAGAAGCTACAAGCACAAAGGTAGAAGTGGGCATAAGACAGGTGAGAGGCCAGGAGGGCTAATCTGACCAGACACTGCTAAGGCTTAGCTGAGTGAGACAGCTATACCACTCAGGCTACAACTAGAGAGACAGCTTAGTTCTGATACCAGCATCAGTTCACAAGGAATTAGCAAATCCCATGCCCATCTGCAGCGCTTCTGCAGGACCTTTACACGTTCTGCATACCTTTTCAATCTAATGTGACGTGTACTTGATTCAGTACAAACTACCACTGTTGGTGCAGGACTTTCGAAACCCACCTATTGGAAGGAAAGGGCAGGACTCATCGTTACATAAGAGTTCTTTCCTTAGTCAGCTGCCTCAGCTCTCTCATACAGAACAAAACCATAGGAGGAAGTTTCTTTTTAAAGCCCCTAAATGACAAAAAAATAAATGTTACAAAGGTCACGCACTAAAACTTAAGGGCTGCCTTGCAGGAACATCCTTCTAGCTCTTACTCAGACCCCATGCACTGTTGGGCACCTTTCTCAAGCCTCAGCAAAGTTTGTTCACAAAAGAACTTCCCGACTACGCCTAAAGGGGTAAGAGGTGGGCACAGTTTGATTAGGTGCAGGCATGTGTCAGCCGTAGGAAGGAAGAGCTAACACTAAAAGGGGACCAAAAACTCAAAAGCATTCCTAGTGGACCATTCTCCCGAAGCTAAGCTGTCCCAAGAACTATGGAGGACCCCGTAGGAAAGAGGATATGCAATAACTGATGGTCATAAGTGAGCCCTAATAAAGGCAAACTCTTAAGTCGAAACTCAAAGTGGTTAGGGAGATTGAGGACAGTAAGAAGCAATTTCAGATTATGGGTCAATTAAATTCACGGACACAACATAGGTGGAACATCACTCCCCCAACAGCTTTGTAATTGCTCTCTGTGAGGGCTCTATTCAGTGCAAAAAATAAGCCTTTCTTCTTGTTGTTTCTGAACATATATGTGGTTTCACCTGCTGCAACTCAGAAGCACTCAGGAAGAACGTCCACACCCCACAGTAGGCATTCTCATCCCAAACACTTATGTCATACCTAGTTTAACAGCCAGAAATCCTCCAAGTAGGTCAATGTTATTTTTCAATTCATTTCCTCAAGGGAAAATCTAGAAAGCTTTGCGTCATACAGGAGCCTTCAAGGTATGAAATAAGCCTTCAGGGATGAAGAAGGGCAGGGGATAAGGTTCAGTGGTATAAGGCTTATCTCACATGTGTGAGTTCTGGTTCCATTACTAACAGTGCGGGGTGTGGGGTGCATAGATAAAAGTGTTTTTCATTTAAATAACAAGAGCAATAATCTTACCATAAGAAACAAACAAACAAACAAGTAACTGGTAACCAGGCAAATGATGCCTATCCCTAAGTTTCAGTCATGCCCACATGCTCCACTCTAAGTGTGTATGTATATCTAGCTCAAATATGGAACAGACATTTTCCCACTTATGACATCAAAGTAATACTAAAACTAATAAGGCCTAGGAATATCAGCACTATGGGGAGGGGGCCTTGAAAACAGAGCCAGGCTCTTTCCACCATCTTTCCACGTCAGCCTGCTCCAAAGTCATCATTAGGTTTCTAACTGTGATGATGAAGCATGGTTACATTGGTGAGCTTGAAATCATCGACGACCACAGAGATGCGAAAATCGTCGTGAACCTCACAGGCAGGTTGAACAAGTGTGGAGTGATAAGCCCTAGATTTGATGTGCAACTCAAAGACCTAGAAAAATGGCAGAACAATCTGCTCCCATCCAGTCAGTTTGGTTTCATTGTACTGACAACCTCAGCTGGCATCATGGACCATGAAGAAGCAAGACGAAAACATACAGGAGGAAAAATCCTGTGATTCTTTTTCTAGAGATGTAAAACACATTAATAAAAAGCCTCCGTGGACTGTGAAAAAAAAAAGAAAAAGAAAGAAAAGAAAACAGAGCCAAGTGCCTATTATCACAAAACAAGATCAATTTGGACACTGCATTTGGCCTTTGGAAGGCCTTTGCACACAGTGCATCAAGTGGGCCCCTGACATTCTGTAGGTGGAATTTGTTAGGAGGGTTCACATCTACAGAATTGAACAATCATCAACACAAAGAGCAACGGGGCAGTCAAAACTCAAACACATCCCAATAGGAGGGTGAAAAATAACCCAAATAAGGAAGTGGCAATTTTGAAAGCCAAAGAGAAGGAAGAAGTAGTTTTTATTCCAGGAAATCTGGTCACATTCCGGAGGGATCTTCTTCCACACCCACCTGTTAGCTTCAAATTCTGAAACCCCCACGAACTGGAAAATTCAACCTGAGCATGTGCAGAAAAATAGCTCTATATTGCCCCCTAGCGCTGGCCAGTCCTACCTCTGGTTAGGCTGGAAACTATAAGGTGAGTAGTTCCTCTGCTCTCTGCTTACTTCCTGCTGCCAACACTCCAAGAGCTAAACATAGCCAGATCCTCTGCCCACAGATTAGGAAACGACGAGGCTATTTTTAGCATCGTGCATCTTAGGAATGAGAATGGCCCAGCCTCAGATGGCACCAGAATGTGTGTGGCCTGGCTTACTGAACTCACATCTCCTGAGGATGTGAAGCTACCCAGTGGCTGCAGGCAGCTGAAAGCTCTAGGGCTCATTACAAAGTGGTGATAGCACATGGATCACAAGAAAGGACTGCAAGAAAAGAGCAAGGGCATGTACACACTCACATACAGAGGAGTCTGGGAGATGCTGGGGCACAGCAATAAGACATGGGGGACTGGGAAGAGAGGAAGAGAGGAGTACTGTGCACTGGTCTCCTGGAGAAGCTGATCCAGTAAGAAGTGATATTTTGAACTGGACATTTATTTTGCATTAGAAAGGACAAAGGTTGGTTGGTGCTGCTTCCTGCCTTGGTATAGCTGGTGTTGTGGCTCCTTTGACCCCTTAGCCCTCTTCAAGTCCTATGATTATAGACAGATCACTAGACTGCCCTTTGATCAGTAGTTCAAGAGCCTGCAGATGCCGCATGCCATCACATTAGCTAGGGGTAAGGAGCAAGCACGACAATAAATGTGATACCATATCCTGGCACAGTGAGGGATAATGAAGAGTACTTATGTATTTTGGGGCTTTGTTTTAAGATGAACATTTTATAGAGTGGAAATCCAGATGTGGAGCCTTGAAGCATCCCCTATATATAGAAAATGTCACTATGAGTTAAACAATGCTTGCACTTGATTCTCGTTCTCCAAATGCCGCTCACAGACTTCTTACCTGGTTAGTGAACTTGCATTGTAAACAGATGACAAAGTAGAAAAACATGTACATTTCTTTTCAAATAGCAGCAAGAACCTCCACTTGTAAACAGAGTGTTTAATATTCCAGTTTCAGACAGCCTACATTAACATTGTGGTTCCATGTGCAGTATAAAATTTCTATTTACAAAAGAGTCTCAAAAATTACTTCATAATGGCAGATCAAGAGCAAAAGAGTTTAGAAATGGAATGATGTAAATCATATGGAGTTCAGAGGCTAAGCAAATTACACACCCGAAGCTTCCCTGGCCTTATGAAAGGAGCCTTTCTCCAGCTCTGTGCAATCCCAGCCCAGGGGAACTTGCATCTGAAAGTTTTCTAAACATTTCAGGTACACTTGAAAGCTGAAAGTAATTCTCATTTCCTATGCGGGATTAACTCGTTTCCAACACACACAAAATAGTCATTCACGAACACACACAAAAAAACACACCACCAAAAGGTGAGGACTTCAGGGCACAAAGGCAAGTTTTTAAGAAAGAAAAAAAAAAGTACACGAGAAAAACCATCACTGATTCCCTTGAAAATGTTCAAGTAACCTTTCGACCTCCATATTCTCACCTATTTCTTAATTGGTGCCTGCCTTCCCATATACAGTGTTTCAATTAAGGACACTGATACCTTTCCTGAACTCTTCATTCTACCAGGCGACCCTATTCCTATACCTGCGTAAAGTCAAACTTGCCAAGATTCATTCATTTTTTATTTCTTCTTAAAGGTGCTCTTTTACTTGTAACTCTGGCCATATGCCACCCTGTAATGTGGTTATAGCTGACTTTTCCAATCCTTCCCACTGCCCAAGCGTCCTCTTCAAGCTGAAGTTGTGGGGCACTCCCGCTTCGGCTGCCGGGTCAGTTTTGGAAGTTGCAAACTCCCGGAATCCCCGCCACCCCCCTAAAGTGCACGCGGACTCACAGGACTCCATCTGCAGCACCAGAGACGCGACCATCCGCTCCAAGGCTGGAGGACCCCACACGCCACCGCACAATGCCAACCGGAACGCACAGAGAGAAGCGGGAAGGGGGAGGATGGGGCGAGACTCACCGTTCTGCTCCTTGTCGCTGGAGAGCTGCAACTTGCTGCTCAGGTTGGACTCAGCCCGAGTCCCGGTTCTCTGGCCGGCCAGGGCAGATGTCAGCAGGAGGAGGCCGAGGAGGAGCATTTGGCTGACTGGGGCGAGGGCTCACTCGCGGCGGGCACTGGGGAAGAGGCGACTCCGAGGCTCAGCCCAGCCTGGGGAAGGCTGCGCTGCGGTGGAAGCGCCTGGCCGGCTCTGGCAGCGGAGAATCGCAGGGTAGTTTCCACATAATCCCATCCAAAACTTTTTCCTAGAGCCCTCTTCTGTGTCTCCAGTTTTTGAAAAGGATCAAAGCAAAACCTGGACCTGAACCAGTTTCCCAAGGTTTAAACAAATCCTGAGCTGTGCCGAAGTGCCGGGGGTGGGGGGAGGCGAGGGAGGAAAGAGGGGGTGGGGACGCGGGGGAGCGGCGATGAGTCGTGGCGACTCGTAGGGAGCACCTGTCAGTTTGGGGGGCAGGACGCAGGCGAGGACTCAAAGTCCCGCCGAGCCAGTCTGG